GGAGTCAAACCCCAAAATAGTCTCTGCTCCTCCCTAAACCTGACTGACCCTACACCTCCAACTACCCCCAGTGGTGTGCAGTGCCCAGCCCACACATCATTTGTGCAGCCCGAGGCACATCCAGAGCTTGTGTGTGACAGCTGGGGACTGGCCTTCATCTCCAGAGGGTGTGGCTCTGCTGAAGGTGGGTGGCTGTTGCTGTACCTGTAGTCTGGCAGAAGGGCTGGAAGGGCAGCAGTGACCCAAGATCAGGGGCCAGGTGGGAGAGAGGAGGAGAGGTGTCTGTGTCCAGGCAGCTATGCAGAGAGGAGCTGAGAAGGACAGAGGGCAAGAGAAATGGGCAGAGAAGCAGAAGAGAGCTGTACAAACACAGATAACTGACCAACCAGGTGCCAGATAAATCACTAGAAACCTCCAACCAGGCACACATGGAGATCTCTATAAACGACCTAAACCAGAAAACTCTTTTGAGGAAAAACTTGAAAACTTTGATCATTGTTGCCATGGTGATGTGATTGGGAATAAAGCATGGCAGAGTATTTTTTTTTCAGCCTTTGTCATAAACAAAAAACCTGCTGCAGACTTAACAAAAGAGGATAAAGCTGGGCTCAGATCATCTAATCATCAGACCCAGAGGCTGCAACTAATAAATCAAGGAAGTAGGAAGATTGTAACTTCCACCAGAGGTCACTTGGTTAAACTGAGTGCAGGTGTGGGAGAGCACTGGGGTCGTGGGGAGGGAATTAATGCCAGCTCTGGTCATTGTCGGGTAACGTTCAGACTCTGCTTTATGGGGACAGGGAGCTCATCTCCTGGAGCCTTCTAGGAAATCCCACCAGCATACCATGCATGGGATAGTGCTGCTGAGGCTGTGGCTGCCCTGGGGACCTATTTCCCTGTGGTTTTATCCTCAGGAGGTGGGCTGCACTCTACTTTGGGTGACATCAGCCAGTACTTTGTCTCTAGCAGAAGCATGAGCAAACCCTGCCTTGCCATAGGTCATAAATCACTGCAGTGATGGAGTCTGCTACTGCCCAAACATGGTTGCAGCAGACTCAACCTTGTATGTGTGTGGTTGCTCCATGGTCCTTGTGCATCTCTGAGATCTCAGTTTGAACTTCTATCAGGCTAATTAGTGGCTGTGAGTGCTGCACTGCCCTGCCTGGCTCTCCCTAGGGATGCTGTAGGTCAGGCTGCTCACCCTGGATGATGCTCAGAGAGCCTTCCCTCCTGTCTCTCCTGGTGTTCCCAGCAGAGAGCTGCGCTTCAAACTGCATCTCTGCATCCTGCTCTTGTCATTCCACCACAGCCTGGCATTTAATCCTGCCAGACAACTCCTGTTCTTCACAGCCCAGTTTCACTTCACTGACACTCATGGTCTGTGCAGTTCCCTCATCTCTGTCCTGTGTCTTAGAAGAAGAGGGAAATCTGGTGTGGCATCTTCTGAGAATGAAGCTCAGCCCCTCAACACCCCACGTCTCCAGCTCATTCACCTCTTCAAGAGCTTTTCTCCCTGCTTTCCATGGGGTTGTACAGCATGACATGGCTTTTGTGAAAGGCTTGGCTGATAATGAACATATCACAGCATCTCCCTGTGCGCAGGAGGCCACGGAAACACCACATGCGTGTGCGTTAAGGTTGCAATCTCAGAAAGTAGAAAATGGGACACAAGAACTCTTCTGGGGAACGTTCAACCACTTTATCTTGTGTCACCCCATTGCTCTGCTCTGTGCAGGATTTAAAGCTCTTCCTCTTCACTGAGTGTAAGGGGGAAAGGAGGAGAGGTTATGTTTTAGGTCTGGATTAACCAGAAGTCATAGAGAGGTCACTGTAGAGAAGTCACTGTTTGAGCAGAAGGAGAATTCACTTTTTCAGCTTTAGCTTGGGGCTCACTTTAAAAATAATTATCACCTGAAGTTAATTGTCTGGAAGCTTGGGCTGAGTGGTGATTTGAAACTCCTGTGTTTGAGTATCTCAGCTCTAATCCTGGGGCAAGTATAGAAAAAGAAAATACATAAGTGTGTCACACTTAGGAAAACATTTTTCCCACATAGGGAATCAGATCTGAAAACTCCCAGAAAATTGCACATGTTCAAGCAAAGGTCACTGTCATACCTATTCCTTAGAACAGGGCAGCACTTTCATAGAATCATAGACTCATTTAGGTTGGAAAAGCCCTCTAAGATCATTGAGTTAATCCAGTGTCACCATGTGCTGTCCCGGGGCTGCCATCACTGAAGTGCAGAACAGGGCCATTCTGGTGACTCCGTGACTGAAGCAAGAACCTCTGGCCATCAGGACACCCTTGGGAGAGACAGCAGACAGAGAAGTGCCAATGTATTGAGAAACCTGTACCCTTGCTGCCACAAGCAGGTCCTGCAGCTCAGGTCACCCAGGAGAGGTGGGGACCAGTGTGGGCATCACCAGAGCAAACCACAAGGACCTTGAAAACCACTCTTGACACATGGGATACGTGGGCATGCACACAGGTGCCTCCTTGGCATCTCCTGCAACAGAGTTAACCACTGCTTGGGCAATTCCTGTGGTGCCCTCTCAGACGTACTAAATAAATCCTCCCTTCTTTGGCCAAAAAAGCCTTACACAGACCAAACTGCACCCATCCATTGTGCAGTGCAGGGCCAAGCACTGAAGAGCTGTTGCAAAGCGTAAATTTTCCTCGGTATCTAAGCATCAAAGCTCCAAATTCCCACTGGTGCTTTCCAAACAGCTTGACCCTGTCAGAGCTGTGAAGAAGGGTGTTCATCCTCTTGATATTCCCCATTATGGGAATGATTCTCTGCTGCTAGCAGTGGTTTTAGGTGAGCAATGCAACTTGTACTACTGTTTTCCAGGTTGTCATCACTTTTTCTAACCTCTAAGACATTACATAACTTTCCCTTTTGGGAGTGTGCACCTGTTTTATATAAAAATAAATTACCACTAGTATATAAAATTAATATACTGATACCATCCGACTCATCCCCTGTAGGAATCTTGCTGTTTATTGGAAGGGGTTAAATGGAGAGCAGAAGGGAAAGCACATCCTAAGTGCAGCTGGAAAGGGATCTCAGCATCAGCAGAGCAGGAAAGGATGCAGGTCCAGACCAAGTACCAGCTCACCCACATCCCTGCTTCCCAGCAGAGGGACACCCACCACTCAAGTTCTGGGTTGTAATTCATAATCCCACACCGGGCACCTCAGCCAGCCCCCCCAAATACTTTGCTGAACAAGTTTGCTCAGTTCCTGCATCAGATCCCTTCTCCCTCATATTGAGAGCCTGCACCTGTCTGTGGACAAATGTTAAAATCACCCTCTTGCAGCATCTGCACCAAAGTCACCCTGTGTTCATCCCTGTTTTTCCTTCCAATCATCACTCAGACGTTTGGGTGGGATGAGGGAATAAAACCTCGTGAGTTAAGTGATTACATGTACACTCTGAATCCCATTGTGGGAAGCAGTGAGAATCCAGCTGAACTCTTCAGGGCACTATGAATGGCTCATGTAAACTAGTCAAAAATCCTTTTAGGAAATGACCCAGTTGAAGAAATCAGAATCTGCTCACAAATGATTTACAAACCAAAGAATGAGTCCAGGGAGCCTGTTTCTCAGGGCCTGACTCATCCTCTCTAGTATTCTTTTCCCTTTTTTTCTTTTGAGCAGTTCAAAAAATTTGTATGAAATTGCTAGAGTATTTTATAGCTATTACTCACCAGCTCAGCATGATTAAATGCAGCCTATAATACACATAAAGAGGGCAAAATTTTTAAAAAAAACCATCAGACTGACTCAGGAGCTAAATTTCCCAGGAGCCTGAAGTGTTGGAAACGCTGAAGACTGCAGCACATCATTTTGAGGCTCTGTGCCACCCCAGAGTGCTTCTCCTCAGCTCACAGGGCTGCTGAGGTGATTCAGGGGGGGTTGCTTACACTGCCCAGCCCTCTTCAGATTTTGCCAACTGCAGGAAAGTGTTTCTTTTAAATGAAAACTCTCTTTAGGGTGAAACCTTTAAATTCAGGTAACCTCAGAGGACAGACTCACCCTTTACCTAGCTCCATTGGTGAGAAAAGTATTTCAGGCACTTGATATCGGAGGATTACTCTGCCCCAGGGTTTGTCCTGGAGGAGGCCACTACCTCCACAGTAGGGTTGGCAGTACTTGTTTGGAGGCTAAAGTTTGTCTCATGGGTTCTGTTTTTTTCTCCTGAAACCAGGTGTTCTGTTTTTGACTGCGGTAGAGTTGATTTTCTTCCCAGTGGCTGGTATAGGGCTAAATTTTAGATTTGTGCTGTGGTTGATAACAAAGAGGATGGTTTTGTTATTGCTGAGCTCAGCCAGAGCCAAGGCCTTTCCTACCCCTTGTACGGCCACGCTAGGGAGGGGCTCGGGGTTTGTGGGAAGTTGGGAGGGGACACGGGTGGGACAGGTGATCCCCACTGACCCAGGGGATATTCCAGACCAGGTGACCTCATGCTCAGCATATAGAGCGGGGGGGAAGAAAGAGGAAGGGGGTGACATTCAGAGTGTTTGTCTTTCCAAGTCACTGTTACGGGTGATGAAGTCCTGCTTTCCCAGAAATGGCTGAACTCCTGCCTCTCGTGGGAATTCCTTGTTTTGCGTTGAGTTTCTTGAGTGACTTTTGCTTTCCCTATTAAATCGTCTTTACCTCTAGCCAAGAGTTTTCTAACTTTTACCCTTCCAATTCTCTCCCTGTCCTGCTAGTGGGTGCATGGGGCTTGGTGGCTGTCTGGGGTTAAACCATGACAGCAGGGAAGGGGTCAGAAATTACATCTCTGGGAAGACAATGTGACTAGGGAGGGAGGAACCTCTGTCAGTCTCGGAAGAGCCTCTTGGAGCTGAGCCAGGGGATCAAAGCCAATTTGAGCCAGAGCTCAGGGCATGGGAAAAACACAGCTCTGCTGAACTGCTTATCCCTGGGCAGATCTAGCTTCAGGCCTTCTGAAGGATCACCAGCTTTGAGTTTTTGCCCCTACATGTGCCAGGAGAGGCTCTAAGAACACAGGTGTGAGGGAGGCAGAGAGATCCCTTGAAAGCATGGTTGTTACTCACCTGCCCCTCTTGCTCTGGGAGATGAGGTTGCATCCAGCCCACTTTGTTCCAGGCGTCCAGCACAGGGAAACCAACCCTTTGGCCAGAGCAGCTCTTTACCTGATTTGTAAAGGTAAAGCAAATCTGCCTCTGACAAATGTCTGAGCAACACGTACTGAAGGAAAGCAAAATAATGAAACAGCTGGAGTGGGAAAGCATTTCTAATCCCCTCCAGGGCTGAAACTCAGGGAGCTTGAGCAGCCACCAGGGAAGACTTGAGCAGGGCTTCACCCTGTCTCTGCAAGCTGGGGATGTTTGTAAAGAAGAGGTTAGTCAGCAGCTCCTGTTCTGTACAACAAGAGTCATCCTGGCTTTTAATAGCTCCCCGTTAGCTCAGGGAGAAGGAGCAGCTGACCATGAAACAGCAGCAAGGACATCTGAGGTGGCCTAAAAATGTAATATATGAGTGATAAGTTTTTAAATAGAGTACCCAAAGGGAAAGAGACAACTTGGGATAAATCCAAAGCTGAAAATCCAGTTTGGGGGAGTGAGGTGGAGACCGAATTATCACGCTCTCAAGTGAGAGGGAAGGGTTGAGCTGTCAGACCTAGACCCAATCCTGAAAAAGGGGTTAAAAATCTCTAAATAAAAGACACTTTTAGTGGGAAAGGCACATGATCCTCTGTACCCACCAGGGTTGCAGTTATTAGAATGTTATGGGCTCTTAGCTGTCCAGCTGGGTCAATCCCCAATGCATTGCAAGAAAAATCAAAAATCCTTTCCAAGGTAAACATTGCATCTGGTACTTCTCCCCTCTCAATAGGTCAGCTGCCACAGTAAAGGAATGATCTTAGCCTGACATGAGTTCTTCTTCAGAAATCCATACCTGGCATTTTTATTACCTTCCCTTTTTGGTGGCCATAACCTAATTGTTTAATATTGCTTTCTTAGAAAACCTCCAGGCTCTGTATTCAAACTATAATTTGGAGGTGGTCTGTAATTTCCAGCCCCCAACTTTCTTTCTCTTCTAAAAACCAAATATTATACTTCTGCCTCAACCCCTTCTCACCCTCCCTTATTCTTACAGCTCCCTAAAAGTGTTGCAAACCTTTCAGAAGCAGCTTCAGCTGAATCTGTGAGTACTCAGGGGGATGTGTGCAGGTGCTGTGTATCTGAGTACCTCTGTTCTGGTTCAGTCATTTTTAACTCATCCTTTCTCACACCGGGCCTGCCTAATCTCTTTGTAAAACACGCTGCCTTACACAGCTTGTTGCCATGACTTCTTTATTCTGAGCGTTAAAGAATATGCTGGATGTTTCAGCCTCATCTGTGTCATCTTTTATATGCTGTCATGGTCCCACCAGGCCAGGCTTCCCTTTGTCATCTTGTGCTTTGAAGGTATTTCTGGAACTTTTTCTTGTGCCCTCTCTGCTCCTCCCAGCCTGCTGTGTGTTCGGAGTGCTGTTTCTATTTCGGTGTGATTGTGCTGCTACTCTACACGCTCCACACTCACGTGTCCTCACTCCCATTTACTTTACTTTTAAGCCCTAAAGAGCTCACAGTGTAGCTGTAATGGCTTTTATTTTTCCCCCCTTTTCTCTGCATCATTACTGTTTGCTCTTAAAAGTTAAAGTAAGATGTTTTTCACTGTGAGTAGGGGGCAGAGATCTGGGGAGATGTCAATGCTGTGGGCACAACCCCCAGGGATGCCTGGGTTGGGGGTTCTGTTTGAGACAACATTTCAGTGAGAGGGGATGTGATTCTTGGAGGGGAGCAGGCAAAATCCGAGCTGCATCATGGACTCCTCTCTGATCTGCACTCCCTTCCATCCCTTTTGTTTTGATAATCTCACCTCTTGTCAGTGGCCTTTTGGGAATAAATCTCCTGCCAGGCTAATTAACTCTCATGGCACTATTCTCTTTTTTCACATCATTTTTCTGGCCATGTTTCAGCCTGGTACAGACACTGGTGGCAGGCGCAGTTAAGGTGAGACATGCCATGTTCATAGGACATGGTGCCTCTGACAGCAGTGAACCAGCACTGAGGACCTCGTGGCCTTGTCTCTGTCAGTCTCACAGAGATCAGGTGTTTGCAGGCTTAAAGGAATGCGGGTCAATCTCACCTCAATGGAAGATGAGTAGAGTAGCAGCTTCTTGTGTTGTAATTCAGAATATTTGTACAGCATAATTTTATTTATATATAATGTGTTTAACTGGGGTTCTTCAGTACATGACAAAACTTCTTTGGAAGACACCAGGGTTGGCATCCCTAAAATGATAGTGAAAAACATGCTAAAAGGCGTATGGAAAGGTCATTTAAGACTGTGAGATCCAAGAGAAGGCTGGAGATGTTTTATGCCAGCTTCAAAGAAACATGGATACTGAGGAAGTGTTAGAAATTTTGTTTCATGCCAAAACGCAGCTTAATAGAAGAGTAGGAGAGAACAACAGGAGACTTGGGTAACTGCTGTCCTGTTGTGTGTCAATACCTGTTAAAAGTTGATTTAGCTTTTTGGTTTTTCGCTGAGCTGGGCAGGTCAGATGTGGACCCAGAGGTACAAGACCTTTAAAATAGGAGCATGAATACTTAAACCCATTTCTACCTTAAAAAGGGACTTCCTGGAGTCTTCAGCTGGGTTCTCCTGACTTGGACTTGGGTCAGGCTTGGCATAGGAATGCTCTGAAATCATTCAGCTGCTTTGTGTCCTTGGATAGAAGTAGTTATTTTTCCTGGGCCAAGTTTGAATCCAAAATTGGCTTGGCCAGGAACCTTTCATAGCTGGCAATCTTTCAGCTGCTTTGCTATAACAGAGACACAGGAAATAGGTGCTGTTTTTCGGTAGCTTAAGATACAGTACAAGGTGGCTTTTGGCTTGCCGGGGCAAACCCAGTGTGAAGGTCACCAGGTTAATTTCTGACTCAGAGCAATTCAAACATTCATAATCCAGCCCTCAGTGAACCAGTTCAAATTTTGTTCTCATCTTTAGATGCCATCCAGCTTGTGCTTTGAGACTCCAGTGATGTTTTTGGCACACTCCTGCTTGGCTACTTTATAAAAACAGAAGAGATGTTTGCAGAACATCATCCTTCATTCCCTTGCAGGCACCTTCTGTATCCTGAATTGTCCGAAATAATTGCTTGTGAAGAAAATGTGATGTAAATTCAGTGCCTCAAACTGACTCAGACATAGATTAGGCTCTTAAAAGATGAAGTCCTGTTCTTGATTTAGAGCTAGAAACTGGTTCAGTCTGAGAGGCGTTCGTAGGGAGGCACCTCTGGAGGTCTTCGGTCTGACAACCTGCTCACAGTAGGATTGTCACCAGCACTAGGTCAAGACAGCTGTGCTTTTCATCAGTCAAACATGGAGAAAGTCCTAGGATGAAGAATTCCCACCTTTCTGTGACCTGATCCCAGGCTGCACCACCCTCCAAGTACAAATTTTGTTTCCTGATGCGGAATTTGAACTTCTCAAGCTGTAAGATGTGGCCGTTGCCCCATTTCCCCACTGCCCCTTGTTAAATGGCTGTTATAGCTGAGAAGTTTGGCTCTGTGATCTTCAGCACTTCCCTTCCAGTAGTTGCAGGTTCCTCCTATGTCTCCATGGATCCACCTTTTCACTGGTCTAGGCAAGGCTCCTTCAACTCTCTCCACAAGACATGTGTCTCTGACCACAATGGCAGCTACTGCTGGACCTTCTCAGGTTTCTCCAAACTCCTTTAGGACTGAGGATCTGAGTTCTGAGGGGATGATAGAACCATAGAATCACCGAATCATTAAGGTTGAAAAAGCCCGCTAAGATGGAGTCCAACCATTCCCCCAGCACTGCCGTCCTAGGTTTACTTGTTCGAAAAATCCAAGCAGGAATTTTTCTTTTCCCTGCTTCACTGTAAGGGAGGGATGTTGGACAAGGGAGGGGGAAGGGGTGATTGATCTACACAAAAGATCTAGCTGGCAGAACTGCATTCCAGGCTGATGGCTCTCCTGGGAACTGGGGGGGGGGGATGATGAATTTTTTTTCTTCCCTCCTCTCCTTGGAAACGGGGACACTTCACTTTTTGCCTTAGGTCGGGCAAGGTGTGTGTTTGAGGAGGGGTCGGAGGTTCACTCTGTTTTCAGCCTGGTCATCTGGCTGTTTTCTGGCCTTGGTTTGTCTACGCCCTGCTCTGTCCCCAGCCCGGACCTGCTCAGATTTCATCAGAGGGGTTTGACCCACCTGCAGAGGAACTTTGTGGGAGGGGGTCGCCCTCTTCCCTCCTCCGCTCCTGTGTTTTTGGCAGCAGTTTGTGCTCATCGACGAAGGGGGGGTCCCAGCCACAGCAGACCGCAGACAGCGTGAGTTTGGTGGGAAGAACCCGCCCCTCTTCCCCTTTTCCCTTCCCCCCTCTCTGAGGGGAACAGCCATTGTCGGCCCCACAGCGCCCCCTGCCGGCCGTGGTTGGAATCGCTCCAAAGGCCGGGAAGTCCCGAACTGTTCCCTTTTTGAAGGGGACTTTGGGTACAGGATTATTGTTTAGTTGCTTTTGTGTTCTTTTGTTGTTCTGCCAATACACATATATCCTTTAATAAAGGGTTGTTATTTCTTCCTTTTTCCATACTTCCTCGATTGGAACCTCTGAATTTCAGATTTACAATTGCTGAGAGAGAGGAGTTTGGTCTTCCTCATAACTCATCCTCCTTAGCAAAACACTTCAGTCTCATTAAACTGAGACAACTGCCAAAGCCATCACTAAACCATGTCCTCAACTGCCACATCCACATGTTTTTTGAACACTTCCAAGGTAGCTTCCCTTAGTCTCCTGGCCGTGCTCCTCTTAAAGTATACCAGTCTGTGGTTTATCTTTTTTGAAATTAGAGCTCACTCTTACCTTAATATTCAACCTTGTGTCCACTGTAACCCCTGATTCCTCTGCAGCACTGGCAAACTTGATTCTGATGGAAAATGTATGAATTTGTTGGACCCAATATGAAATATTAAGTCTGCATTCAAGGTAACATTTCATAAATTACCTTCCAGCAAAATCAAGGAGCACTCAGATGTTTTTTCAGTAAAGATATTTACTCCAATCAGGAAACATAACTGGGATGTCATTCTTGGAATAAAAGCCAGCAAAACAAGGAAAACCAATGCTTTTGTGGCTGTGATTTTGGTTCCATAAATCCACAGATGTATGGGCTGGAAGCTGCTTTTGGTGGGCGTGCAGTGCAGATGCTTTTATCTGGTTCCAGTGCCTGTAAAGCCCAAGTGTGGCTCCACATGGGCCCTATCAGGACACACACGCACACGTAGGAAGTTTGGTTATGGATTCAGGCCCAGCTAATGAATGAAAACAAGGGACATGTTCCCACACCCTGTGGGGTGCTTCTGTTCAGCTCTCAGCCTTCTCCAGCACATCCTCTTGGCTGTGCTGGGCTTCTGTTGGCCTGGCAGTTTGCAGGCAGGCTGTCAGCTTGGATCCTACACTACCAACCCACAGTGAGTCACACTGACCCAAACATTCCTTTGGCCCATTATTGCTTTTCTCTATTCCTATCTGACTGGTATTTCATTTCAGAAAAAACTTCTGATAGTGTTGTCATTAAATCCCGTTTGGAAATTAAATAAATAAATAAAACCCAAAAGAACAGTGCACAGGCTTGTCCTTCCCACCACTCTGCAATCCAGAGCACCGAGCTGGGGGAAATGCTCCAAGTGCATCTGTCGGCTGAGGGTTTCCCCTGAGTGCTCTTCTGCATCACGTTTTCTCCTAGAATAGTCCCCAGACTGCCTGAGTGTGTGTATGAGTGGGACTGTGGCTTTTGTGGCAACAGTTTTCATTACCATTTTGGTGTCCCAGCTGTCCCTCCAAGTTCTGTTTCACTTCCCATGGGAAGAGGGCCCTGTGTGCTGCTGCAGCACAGTGAAGAGGACGGTCTCTCTCTGTCCTGTTCCGTGAGCTGATGGGCAGTTCATTGCAGCCTCTCCCCTGCCTTCCCTCTGCCTTGTGGGCCACAGGCAGGGCATGGTGGTTATGGGGCTTGGCCCTGCACTGTGCTGGTCACGGTGCTCTTCTGCTCTGAAGTCCTTTGTCACCCAGGATGTGACAGGGTGTTCCTGCCCTCCAATTTTGCATTAAGTCTGGGGTCACGGTGGGCAGCCACAGAGCTTTTAGAAGGAGATGTGTGAAGGCTGTGAGCACTGGAGTGTCTTGAACACACTCTGGTCTGATGGTCTGACAGCTGATTAATCTCTAGCACAAAATGTGTCATACTTCAGTCAGCCTGATCAGATTCCAGGATTACCCCACAGGGTCTTACGTGTGTGTGCCTTCCAAAATGAAGAGCCCTCTGCTCTCAGAAGTACCTTCACCTTTTATGTGACGAACTCAGTGTGCTGAGCTGCTCCAGTTTTAGTTCTCCAGCACTTAAAAAATTATGAGCTGAGCTTTCCTATGGACTCTTGTAATTTTTTAATCAACCTTTTGAAAGCATGGGGTGTGGAGCTGAGCACAGCCCTTCTTTTTGTCTCACCATTGCCTGTTAGATTGCCCTTGCCAGTGCTCATCAGGCCAAGCTTCCCATCATTCCCTGCTGCTCAGCACAGAAGAGATCTCTGGGTCATCCCCAGAGCACTCGGCAGAGTGAAAAACAGGGATCCTTGGGGCATCTAGACTTTCTGGAAGACGACCTGCAATCAGAGTCTGCCTGCCTGGAAAACCTGGAGCCCCCAGCACACATTCCACAGGCAGTGGGATGTAAACTTTGCTTGCTCTCTCAGGGTATTGGGACCCCTCACATAAACCAAGTATCATCAAAAAACTGCAAGCACAGACAATACCAGCAGTCCTCTCATTTGTAATGGTGTTACCAACTCCACGGGCTGAGCCCAGGCATCTTCAACACATCTGAGTCACCATGACACATGTCTATAAAGCCGATGTCCTAGGGAGGGTTAAGAGTGCCAGCCTGCTTCTGCTGAAGACCCTTGGATTATGAAATGTGGATGGAGGGAAATGGAGTTGATCTCAGGCACCCATAACTTCAACAATAAAATGAGCAAACTGAGTGGATTAAATAAGTGCATCTGCTTGGCATGAAGTGGTATGGACTAACAATTGCTTTAAGCAAGATTATTAATGAGGACTAGGACAAGAGCCAACTACACAAGCAAGCAATGGGTTGATTATCCTGACTCAAAGCACTTAGTTATGTCTGACATTCCTTGGCAGCTGGATTAACATGTTCCTGAGATACAGCTTTGTCTCCTAAGCAAAGGTTGCACATTTCACCCTCCTGCAGGATCTTGTACTGTACAACTTTGCTATACAATTCTTCTAACAAGAGGTGTTTCATCCATGTCTTGAGTCTCCATCTTGCCTCACCCTTTAGCCAAGACATCATCAAATGACTGTCAAGGTTGAGCAGATCAGTTGAGTCACCTGAGAGTGGCACCTGCCCAAACTGCAGACCCAGAGCTCTTTGGCAAACACTTTAGAGTCTTTGGTGCTCTGGCAGTGCAAGAACTGCAGCGTGGTTCGAGTGGTGTCAGTGATGTCAGTGTGTCCAGTGTGCCAGGAGCGATGAGTGCACCCCTGAAGCAGGGATGAAGGAACCCTGTCCTGGGCATAGACAATCTGTGTTGGATTGTCCAATCCAATGTGGCTTGCACAGCACTGTGCCTTGCTACCCCCAGCTGAGATGGTGCCTTGCATTGTATCTGTTACTGGGGACAGCAGATCCTGTGCAATCAGTAAGACTGTGCCTGTGTGATGCCTTGTTTCTCCTAAACTGAGAACCACCCATTCAACCAGGCAGGTACTGTCAGGGTGAGCAGCCACCTTGAATCAACCACCTCAAAACTGTGAGATCTGAGGAGTGTGAGAGAAATGCTCACTGAATGAAACCTGGCAGGTTCTACAGACACTTGTGCACGTGATTGTCACATGATGAAGCTACAAAGGAAGACAGGAAGGCTGTAGAGCAAGGTGGTCCTGGTCCTGGGGTTTCTGGTTTCTCAGGGCTAGGGTATTGGCTTGTGTGCTAATGGGCCTCCTGGCTTGTTTCCTTTCCTGGTGACCCTGATCAGTGGTGTCCTAGTTAAAACAGCTGGGACCGATTCATTACTGGATGGGTGTAGCCCAAAATTGTGTATTCTA